CAGGAGCGGTGGCAGCCACCAGCCTGTCCCTATGGCCACCAGCAGTGACAGGGTGTGATTTCCATGCGCCCAGCTGCTCTGGAGATGCCACCTTCCCATGCACAGGCATATTGTGGAGGCTTGTTAATTACAGCAATTTACAAATTGCTGTTGTGGAATTGACTTCATTGGAAAGAGTTAAAATATTTAGCTTGATTGAACATCTGCTCCCCTTAACGCAGAGTTTATTTAAGGGGAGCTTTTGCTGTTGTTGCTGTTATGTGCTTGGATTTCCTTATCACCACGTGCTTGCAGCATGAGACAGCCCAGCCCTGCTCTCCCCATCGCCCCATCCCATAAAACCAGGGAAGAGAAATGTCCCACTGCTTCATCAGGGGCTTTTTCCCCAGGGAGGTCCCTGGGCTGGCATTGTCCCTGCTGCGCTGGGGTACCAGCCTCTTGCTGGTTTGTGTCCCCATCTGCTGCATCCCTGTCCTGGCTTTGTTAGGACAGGTTAATGTTCTTCTCAGTAGCTGGAACAGCTGTGGTTTGGGTTCAGTGTGGGATTTGGTATGAGAAGAATGTTGATCAGGTGCTGATGTTTTTAATTGCTGCTGGAAGTCCAAGGACTTTGTGTTTTGCTGGTCTGCAAGTGCAAAGCACTGGGAGAGGAGAAGTGCAGTAATTAGCAAAACCCCAAATTGGCATTTGGCTCTGCCAATGGGATATTCCATCTCCTGTCCCATCATGGGCAGGACATGAACCAGGGCTGACTGGAAACCAGGGGGATTCTCTCGGGGATCGCTCGGGCTCTCGCTCTCCCAGGGTTTGGGTTTGGGGACGGTCTCTGCTCCGGGATCACTGGCTGGGACAGGCTGGGCATCGGTCAGTGGGTGGTGAGTGATTGCACTGGGCATCACTCAGCTGTGGGCGCCGTGAAACCCTCTTTTGGTTCCGTGACATTAATTTTACAATATCCCTGGAGCGGTTCCAAAGCAAAGTTTTATGTGATCTGATTACACAAGGTGAATTGTCCTGTTTCTGTTTAATGAAACAGATACTGTGTTTGATGATTCTGAGGGGAATTAAATGCAGTCGAGCTATTAATCAGGGGTTGGTTTAGTGGGGAGGACAAGAGGCAGATGCCCACAGCTTTTATGCGTCATGAGAGAGATTCTTGCGGCACCACCAGGAGAGTTGTGGGTTATTATTGATGTTTCATTATCCCTTTTATCACCTGATTTTTATGGGAGGATCGATTAGCAAGAAGTATAATTGAAAGGTTTCAGCAGGGACCTGTGGTGGTTGCACTGGGCCATCACTGAGCTGCAGCCAAACCCAACCGCTCGCTCACTGCCCACCCAGGGGACAGGGGAGAGAATTGGGGGGCGAGGGGAAGGAGACTGGTAGGGTGAGAGAAGAACAATCTCATCATTGAAATAAAGTAAAACTTAAAGTAATACTGATATTAATAACGGTAATAATAATAATAATAGTAATAAAATATACCAATGAGTGACACCCAGTGCCATTGCTCACCACCCGCCGACCAAGCCTGGCCCATAGGAGATGGAACAGCCCCTTGGCAGAGCCCAATGCCCGTGGAGCTGATCCATGTCAATATTCCTCACCCCTGAGATCTTGCCAGCTCAACACTAGGACAGGAGCGCAGGTGGTGGCCCTGGGATGAGTGACCCAGGGGTTGCAGGGGACACCCCACTAACTGTGTCCTCTCTTCCTTCTTCCAGAGTGGCCAGAGTTTGTGGCAAACTACGCGCCGTGGTGGGCGACCCACACCCTCGACTGGCTGCGCTACGGTAAGAAGGTGCTGGTGGTGCATTTCGAGGACCTGAAGCGGGACCTCTTTGTCCAGCTGCAGCGGATGGTGGGGCTGCTGGGCATCCCCGCCTGCCAGGACCGGCTGCTCTGCGTCGAGGGACAGAAGGATGGCAACTTCAAACGATCCGGCTTGAGAAAATTGGAGTATGACCCTTACACCCCCGAGATGAGGAAGATGATCAGTGGCTACATCAAAACAGTGGACACGGCTCTGAAACTCCGAAACCTGTCGGGGGTCCCGGATGACTATTACCCAAGATGATGGTGATGACAGCGGGGGGACCTGACCCTGCGTGGCGAGGAAAGGCTCGGTCTGCCCGGCCTCTGCCTACTTCCACCCAGTGGGTGGTTTTTCTTTTAACTCTCCATCTGCTGCTATTTGCTGTTGATCAAGTCCCTGCATGAGCAACCAACGCTCCCCAGCCATCACTGAGCTTCCTTGGCCCCCACCCATGTGGACGGATGCAGGTGTCTTCCCCACTGCAGGGGTCCTGCTCCGTCCCTCTCCTCCTTGGGCTGCCACAGCCCTTCTCGGCGACACAATGAGTCATCTGTGCCCGTCCCTGGGGGCTGGCTGGAGGGGACACTGCGGTGCTCGTGCCGTGCATGATGCACCCCCAGCACCGGGAGCTCAGCTCGCCTTTGGGGGGAGTAGCCCCAAACCCTCCTCCCTCCTTGGCCAGCCCTGGAAGGATGTCACCCATCCTCGGATGGAGCCTGTTGGATTTCCCAAGGGAGGAGAGACGTGGGCGATGCTCC